TTGGCAGCTAGCAAGTCCTGGATATTGATATGTTCGTCACTAAAGATCTTGAGGTGGTCGGCGATCAAATGTCTATTTTTGCATCCCGGGCATTGGATCAATACGGTTCCGCCGGTATATGCTTGTTTAGAGAACGTATGACTAGACCTTGTGTCACATTTCTTGCAAGTGAAAGCGATCATTAATTGCGGTTTGTCCACTTTGAGAGGTTGGCTAGAGTTCCATCTGGCAAAACCGTTTAAAAATTGGGAAGAGGCCTTCCGCAGCAGCGGCGACCTAGAAGACCGTAGTAATGTTCTTGAGGATTGTCTTAGGGCTTGACTTGCTAAAATTCTGGGCAACATCCTGGGGTAATCATAAAGAAAATTATTTTTCCAACCTGTGCGATGAGATGAAGTCGGATTAGGCGGAAATTTTGGGGAAACTGCCCTCGAAGGTTATCTGTTCGCTTGCAGGAGAATATTTTTTTTGGCTTGAAAGACCCTCTAACCACCATCGTATGTTTCTCAACAGGGCCATAAGGGGAACTTCGATTAATGGCCTGGGTGTGTGCTCTCGCTGGATACATCAATCCTTCAAGCGAGATGCTGTCTCTGAATCAAATGTTATCAGCTCGGTAAAGAAACAACACTTGAAGAGGAACCCTAAATCCAACCGATCCATAAAAAGGAACAGATACAATGACCTCAAAATACGGGTTGAAAAGGATGTAATAGAGAGCTTGGAGATGAACAAGAAGAGTGGTCTGAGAAGTCCACATGATAGGTACAGCAGGCTGAAGATCAAGTTTGACCCAAGATTTGAGGGCTCCTTCAAAGATTTTGGAGTATCTACAAGATTGGATCGACAATTGAGTGAAAAATTACATATTAACCAACCTACGGATACCCAGAGACGGATTTTGTCTATCTTATGCTCAGATCTATCAGTGCTTGCGGTTTCATCGCAAAGGTCGGGGAATAGCACCTGTCTTTTATTGTACGCTCTTTCAATGAAAGGACGATCACTTTTACTAGCACCAACTACTCTCGCAGTATTACAATTACAAAAATTATGTCACTCCTTGGAAGTCGAAGGCGTTGCATTCTTGTATAGAAGTTCAGAGGAGGAAGAGCTGAATCAAGGGAAACAGTTGGACCTGAAAACTCCCAAAGTAATAGTGGCCACACCTCAGAGAATGCTAGATTTAATCAGTGAAAAAAAATCCGACCCTTTGTTCATGAATTTGCATGAGCTTAATTTTCTTGGTGTGGATGATGCTGATATGCAGCTATTGAATGACAATAAGAAAGTTGTTCATGAAAGGCCTGCACAAATCTTGATCAATTATATCATAAAGCTAAAAGAGACTGTCACTTCTAACAAAAACTCCCAGCCCTTGCAGTTTGGATTTATTGAAACACTGGATATTAGCAATAAACTGCTAAACATGATTAAAGAAAACAAATGGAATGCTTCCAGAACCCTTTTGCCAATTGGGTTACTCGCTAAAGGCGATGTCTTGGCCAGGGCTCGGATTAACCAATCAGCTAGCTTATCGATTGTCATTAGTGATAGCAAAAAGGTTCTGGACCTTAAACTTCCTCCTTTATCTTCTGGAATGGAAGTCTTGTCAAAAATTAGGTCACCAATTGGAAGAGAATTTGACGAGAATGCAAAGAAACACCTTACCTCACAGTTACAAAACGATAAAACCCTCTCTCAATTCATTTCAGCTGAAGTATCAGACGCTTTATCAGCTGTGTCCATGAAATTGAAGACGAAAAAATCTCTTCTGATATGTCCCGATTCTATTACAGTTCGAACTATAATGGAACAGTTAACAGCCCTTGGGTATTCGTCTAAACAGCTAAGCTCATCCACAACTAACTTTTTCAATGACGAAAATGAGCAAAGCCAGTTTCTCATATCCACACCTTCTCAACTTCCCGGTGTGAATTTGGAGGGCCTAACCTCCGTCATCTGTTTAGGCTTGCATGCGTTAAAGGACTCCAAAACTTTAGTTTTAATTGCTGGAAAGTCCCAATCCCCTCATGTCACGCTGATTCTTTCAAAATCAAAGACTACAATGGTTGAACGATTCATGATTGAAAGGATGCTTTTGAAGAGTGGAGTGGCTAACCTGACTCCATTAATCGGTGAAACAGACGATTACGACGAAAAAGCCTACCAAGAGCTATTTTCTGATATCCACGGAGACAATTCCTCATAGGAAGACCGTTTAATTACCCTGTACATAATATCAACTATAACCTTCTCCTTAGGAGAATCCTCCCTTTCAAAAGGACCCTTCCTCGTGCTCTCAACGGTTTTCCCACCTATGCTCTTAACCTTACCCTTCCAATTTCCGCGAAGTTTTGCATCATGTCGTACTAACGCTCCCCTATATAGAACAACTTTAACCATGACTAATATAGCATATTTGGGGCCCCAAGGGACGTATTCCCATAAGGTAAGTTAGTGGGCGTTAATTTTGATTCCAGCAGTGTCGCTAACTTTCCAGGCTGCCCTGCAAGAGTTTGGAAACGGTGAAAACTTCACGTATGAACCCCAGACTACAATCCGTAGTTGTATCAAGGCACTCGGTGACAAAACCGTTTCGTATGCTGTGATTCCGTTTGAGAACTCTTCTAATGGACAGGTAGTATTTTCTTATGATTATCTCAAAGATTGGTTTATGAATAGGGAGGGAAATACACCGGATTTCCGTGTTGTTGGCGAACAATTCGTCTCTATTCATCATAATTTAATTACAAATGCCCCCAGTCTAGACAAGATTACCAAGATTTATTCGCATCCACAGGTTTGGAGTCAATGCAACCGTTTTTTTGAGACAAATGATAAAGTGTTCCCAGAAAGTTTGGAGAAAATTGACTGTAGTTCAACTTCTCGGGCCGTTCAGATAGTGAAAGAATCAGTTGAAAAGGGCGATGAATACGTCGCAGCGATAGCGAGTGATATAGCTGCGGAGTTACACAATGTCCCAGTATTCCAGGCGAATATAGAAGATTTTGACGAGAACACTACGAGGTTCTTGATCTTGGGATATGACAATCTTCCTCTGTCTACGGACAAATCATCAAAGACATTGACATTGATGGCATTTATGCTGAAAAAGGATGATAACCATGGTGCATTATGTGATGCTTTAGCATGTTTCAAGGAGCATGGTATCAACTTGCAAACTATTGCCTCTCGGCCATCAAAAATGAAATCTTGGCATTACATTTTCTTCATAGAGTTCTGGGATGATCAAGATGAAAACACAGTCAATGCCCTGGAAAAACTGAACGATTATGTTCAGGAGAAATTTGTCTTAGGAACATTTCCACGGTCCAAAAAGTACTGGGATTAAAAAAGGTTAAGTGTAATGTAAATATATTTCGTTTTAATCCTAATTTCCATATTTTTGTAGAACCCATTCTCCGTTATCTAAAGGACAAACATTTCTAGTCTTAAGCCATCTTGTGATACAATGCATGTGGAAGGCGTGCTTCGTAGGGTTAGTATACTCAAACTGCTGAAAACTTTCGAAAGATCACTTACATTACAAGTTCCCCAAGCTGTAGCACATTCGATATTGCTCTGGGAGGTACTGTTTGGCTGGCAATCAATACATGGCTCCATCAAATGGTTTCTGCAAATGGCACAGGTTTCCACGACCATATCTGTGATTATTAGTACTTCGTTTAACAAAAGATGCTTGGTAAAGGGTTTACTTACTCCAGGACCAGAACGCCACTGCTGTCCACTTCTTGACTTCAAACCGTTTCTTCTCCTGTCCATCTGGGATGTTAGTAGCTGGTGCAACCGAAACTTCTCAAAGAGTGCTTACCTGGCACATCAACCTCCATTTCATCAACGTTTTCTGTCGACATGATATCCTTGTTTCGTAGAAGTAGTCAGATTGAGATTGTTTCTCGATTTATTTAGTGGGAGATCCTGGAGGGAGTCTAGTAACCAGCAAGCTCAGTTTCCAAAAGAACGGTTTTTGCAAGCGTAGAATGCAAATCAAAATGCTGATAATAGTCACTAATCTTTGGTTGTGATTCCTCTGAGCATTGACTTGCTGTTTATTACTTTAGATGCATTCCAATCGATAGAGACGTCCTCGTTGGAAGGAAGTTCCTGGGTGGAGATCCTACGCGGGGTGCTTGCACGGCGCGACTTGGAAGGTGACCAGACACATCTATTTCTTCCACAACAGTTTAGTAATTGGACTTCACTGGATTCATGGAAGACGAGCAGCACGGGCTCATTAGCGCCTTATACCCTCCTCCACCTCCGTATCTGAAATTTTTCACCAATAAAAACGTTGAAAAACTTAAAGAGTTAAGAGAAACCAAGAGTGATGAAGAAATATACCAACAAGTGAAGGGAACGGAGTTGCAATTCCTGATACCCCCTATAAAACCAGAAGGGGAGTCATATCGATCATTTGGCAGTGTCTGGAGCTTTAAAGATAAATTCATAGATCTCAAAGCTTCTGGGATTCAACAATTGTATCCAAATTTCATATCTGAGGAGAATGATCAGGATGAAGTATTCTCCCATGAAAGACTAACGGAAATGAAAAAGATGACGAAATCGCTGCTGCTAAACTTCTTAGAGCTACTAGGCATAGTTGCTAAGAATCCCAGCTATGCTAACCAAAAAATAGAACATATACGAATCATTTTGATAAATTTACATTATCTGCTGAACAGCTATCGATTGCACCAATCCCGAGAAATTCTGATACTAGAAATGGAAAGCAAAATACAGCAGGACAAAGCTGAGATTGAAAACATTGAAACCGTTTGTGCAAAAATAGAAGAAAAAGTAAGGACATTGGTTAAAAAGAACGTGACACTACTTCCAGAAAAGAACGGTGAGATGGAGGTAGAGGATGACAAAGAAACTGATATAGAAGCTAAACGTCAAGAGGTGATAGATAGCTTACTTGAGGAGGAATACATAGAATAATCAAGAAGTTAATGCCAAAAAAAGTAAGGAAATTATGCGCCTGCCGGGAATCGAACCCGGGGCCTAACAATGGGAATGTTAGATTTTACCACTAAACCACAGGCGCAATTTCCACGTGTTTTTTGTTTGGCTGATAGATAAGGGAGGAATAACTATAAGCTACAGATGGTCAAATGGTCAGATGTCAGTGAAGAGGTTACATAAATACTGGTACACATTGGATTACTATACTTTTATTCCTTTATGCATGTGTTTTAACTAATAACAAAGGTCCAACAGTTAAAGGACACCAAAACTCTGATTATCCAACTCTATGAGCAGTGATGCTTAGTAATCTTAATTTCTGGTTGAAGTTCATTTAATTAGATCTTTGATATACAAAATTGACCTACTTACACCTTAGGCTTTGGCTTGGACCAATCCACCTTCAAGATCAGAGACAAATAACCTCTGTTGTTCAGACGGTCAATTGCCAACTGAGCTTCTTGTTCAGTCTCAAAGGCAACAAATGCAACTCCCTTCGACCTGCCAGTCTCTCTGTTTCTAACAACAGTAGCCTTGGTAATGCTACCAAATGGAGCACAAAGCTCCATACGTAATCTTTGTTCATCCACAACTTCATTAAGTTGTGTAATTCTGATTGTGGTTGAGTCATCGTGAATTCTTTCACCTGGCCCGGGACGTGGCATGGCACCTCCTCTTCCTCTAAGGTGCGGAGGCACATAGGAGCTTCCAGAGCCTCCGAGACCAGCGCCGACAGAATCTCCAGAGACATCAGCAGTGGAACCCTCGGCTTCACCATTGTTTCCAGACATGTTGGGGTTGGACTCTGGATCGACACCCAAGGTTCCAATAAATGGACATTTGGTAGTGAAATGGTCTCCTTGACACAATCTACACACCACTAATGATTTTGTTACCTCGGTTTGCTTTCTCTTCTTGACTTCTTCTTCCTTTCTCTTACGTGCTTCTTCACCAAATTGCACATCAATAGGGTCGTCTAACATGGTTGTTCTTGTGTCTGGACCTACAGTTGAGTTATCCTTTTCCTCTCCAAACCGTGACCATTTTCTTCTTTGGGCCACGGCTGGGACCACTTCTTCTTTGACTATGGTTTCTCTAATTCTCTTGGTTATCTTGACTTTCTTCCCCTGTTGGTTGCGCGTGTACGATACTACTGTCTTGGTACCGTCTCCGTTGTCCGTGACTTGTGTCTGTGGCAATTCATCTGCCCAGTTTTGAGCTACTGCTGTTGCCATTGTCGATAGTAGGTTGATTATATGTGGTTTGGAAGAACAAAACGCTTGATAAATTTTCGAGTTCACGGTCGTGTGTGCGCTAATAGTGGTGTGTGGAGGTTGAGCAGACGACAGTGGTGAGAACGCTGAATCACATCTGCATACGTGATTAATGAATTTAGTGTATCTAATAGGGCTGGAAATCCCTGACAAAGAAGGACTAGGAGTGTTACTATAAAATAGGCTTTGTGAAGTTTGATAATGAAGAGGATGTCACACTAAGCGTCATGAATTGAAAAACAGATGAAAGTATCTCCGAGTATTATTTTGTGGTAAGAAGTAAAGAAGACGTTGTCCTGAAATCTAAGTTTGAAAGCTTCTTCAAGGAGAAAAGTATAGGAGAAACTGGAAACATATGCAAGTATGTCAAAATGTGTGAAGATGGAACAATAAAGAATGTAATTCTGGAGTTATCAGATCCACCCAAGGCGTACCAAAAGGATAATAAAATAAGAGTTTACAACCAATCGGAGGAGAAGAAGATAATGCATGAGTATGTGAATTACTTGAACAAAGAAGATGGCCCGTATGTGGAAGAATTTGGTCACGACAGACTCATGTACATATATATGATTAATTCTGGTGAAGCACATATAATACCAAAACATAGTAACTTAGAAGGCTGGACTCCAGATCCATCGGGGTATCCTGTTCAATGGTGTGAAGAAATGATAAAAGAAGTATACAATCGTACAAATTTTGATGAGGAGCTATATGAAAAATTTAAGCCAGAGTAGAACGGAGGAAAGAGAGTTAAAACTGAATGAAGAAATTAAACAGCATTTCTGTTATACTGAACAATCTACTATCCATATTACTTTTAGCATTGAATACCAGAACTCCTTTTTACCACTTTTCATGATCTGAAAGAATTAAAACAGCTCACTGTTCCGCTTTTAAAACTTCTGATTGTAAGCGTGGAACTCTTGAACTGTTGCTGGTGAAACACTTTTATCATATATATGACATAAGCAACTGATATCAAAAGATTGGGCGTGTGGCGTAGTTGGTAGCGCGCTCCCTTAGCATGGGAGAGGTCTTGGGTTCGATTCCCAACTCGTCCATTTATTCTTTTTCGGGTCCATTTTTATTCCGACGTTGTATCCTTCGTCCACTTATTCTTTTTCGGGTTCATTTTTAATCCGACGTCGTATCCTTCGGATGAATTGTGTTATAGCCAACGTTTCTTAGCAATATCAAATAATCATGTATTTAATGTAGCAAATTACGTCAATTCACAGCTCAAATACTTGCCGAATATGGTATCATACTCTACCCTTCTGTAACATCAATTACTAAGCAACCCCCAGCATGAGCGATTAAGCTGTCAGCTCCTCATTTTGGAGCAATGATCTCAGTTTCCCCCTTTGCATATAAATAGTAGCTGATCGAGCCTCCCTCCTGAAATATCATACAATTACACACCCACTAAACTATGGCATTAGCAATTCCTCAAATTGGCTTCGGAACCGGTACCGCATGGTACAAGTACGGCAGAGAAACAGAAATCGACCAACGCCTGGTTGATGCTTTGGTATCTGCTTTGCAAGTTGGAATCACCCATCTCGATGGTGCTGAATGTTATGGTACGGCATTGGAAACTAGAGATGCCCTCAAGAAGGCCAAGATTCCAAGAAATAAATTATGGATCACTGAAAAATACTATGCAGGAGATTCAAGTTATAAAACCAGATCCAAAGCTGCCAACCCATTAGAGGCTCTCAAAGAGATACTAAGGTTGGAAAAATTGGAATATGTGGACTTGTACTTGCTACATTCTCCATTCATCAAGAAGGAAACTCATGGATTTACCGTCAAAGAAGCCTGGGGCTACTTAGAAGAGGCAAGAAGTCTTGGATTGGCCAAGAACATCGGAGTCTCTAACTTTGCAGTATCTGACCTGGAGAAAATCCTGGAAGTTGCCAAGGTTAAGCCTGAGGTGAATCAGATTGAATACAATGCTTTCTTGCAAGACCAAACTCCTGGAATTGTGGAGTTTTCTCAAAAGAATGGCATCCTCATTGAAGCTTACTCTCCGTTGGCTCCATTGTATAAGGGTGATAAGTCAATTAAGGAAGTCAAGGAATTTTTAGACTATGTTAATGAATTGGGCAAAAAGTACAGCAAGTCTGATACTCAAGTTCTGCTAAAGTGGGTTCTACAGAAGGGAATAATTCCAATTACTACAAGCACCAAAACCGAAAGAGTTAAGGAATTTTTAAAGATTGACGACTTCAAGCTGGAGCCTTCTGAGGTCGAAGAGATTACCTCTCTTGGTTCCAATGCCCCAATTGTCAGACAGTATTGGATTCCTGAATACAGCAAGTTTGACTAGGTTGGCGTTGTGATTCCTTCGATTGAATAAAAAGGATTGTGAGTCACCGATCAATCTACTATCATCTTTAGATTGTGATGTGGATCCTCATACGACAGTACTTTGATAAACAGTAGCAACTTTTGTGACTAATAAGAAACTCTATCAATAGTAAATACGTAGATGCGTGGGCAATCCAATCCCTGTTACCTTTCTCCACTTTATGCTGGGTATGCACTATATACATTGCTTTAGTTCCATGCGTCTATAACTTGGATGTCGCTGAAAAATAGTCACTTTTCTCCACCTTATGCTAGGTACGCGCTATATACATTGGCATGTTTCTATGCATCAAGAAATTGTGTGACAGGTGCAAAAGTAACACTGTATGCACTAGCATAACTGGCTAGCCATACCGAGAAAATGTGAGATAAAATATGCGTTGCTGAAGTCGCAACTGCGCTAGGTTAAGAACAAGCTTTATCTCGCTTGTTGTACGATCATAGAATCAATCCGTTCATCTGAGTGTAACTACTCTTGCCCTGGCACGGTCTGCCTCCGAGAAGTGAGAAGCAAGATCACAAGATCTCGTTTGTGATACTGATACTGTATTGGGTAAGAAGAAAAACAAGAGAGAGCATATAAACGAAAAGGCTAAAAGATTAATGAGGATAACAGTCCATTCTATTTCGTGGAAACAGACATATATAATGCACAATATTTCATGCAGCGAACACCAAGTATTTCTATGTCCTTCCTTGGTCCTCTTGGCATATTCCTGCATTCCCAGCATACATAAGCCCAAGCAGATAGCCAGCTACTACACATAAAATGCCTGGAATGATAAAAGGAGTGTGATCAAGCATTGTCTATTATCTATGGGAACACTTGTCTCTGATCTACTTGCTAATCACAGTATCTTGGCATGACGAATCTGTTTTCCTAGTCTGTAGTTCATAACAATTATGATGATGAATATCAAGAGTAGCGGAGCAAGGTACATTTTCATTTTAGAGGCAACTTCATCAAGAGTAACCACATTTGCGTGATTCGGTGTTTTTACAAGATCATTGATTCGTAGCAGTGCTTGCATCACCGTTTTCTGTTCTTCGCTTAACCCCTTAACTGTTTCCGTAAGAGCAAGAATGTCCCGTTTTAATCCACCCAAGTCACTTGACGTCGATGATGAAGATGATGAATCTGGAGATCTGGAGAGCAATTCAATTTTGTCGTTCAAATATCCGATTTGCTTGAAAACTTCGTGAAATTGGCGATTTATCTGCTGTAAAAGAATATCTCCATGGGGTTGTTCATTCGATGATGTTATAAGAAGATTGGTTTCATCTACTAATGACTCTAGAGTGTCTAGTTTAGCAATAATGTAAGGGAGTGCCTCTGCAGATTTCTGTTGAGCTAGTTGGTTTTTCAATTCCAACTCTTTCTCCCTAAAAGCTTGCGAGTTACCATATTCAGAAGCTATTGTCTTTGATTCAG